CCACCTTTTCTCTCTCCCCCACTTTCCTCTTTCTTTTACAAGGTCTTCTATGCAATGGCATGATCCTAAATCACTGCAGACTTGAACCCCTTGGCCCAAGCGATCCTCTTGCCTTAGCCTCCCAAGTAGCTGGGGCTAAGGCCTGTGCCACCATGCCCTTCCATTGTTTTTTTTCTTTTCTTTTTTGTGGAGATGGGTCTTACTATGCTGTCCAGGCTCATTTTCATCTTAATGGGTGCTTTTCAAGGGTTCTTATCCAAGGGTACCTGGATGGAGCTTAGTCACTTGAAGCCCTTGTTATTGTGTTGAAGTTTTGTGTCTGTCTCCTTCATCCTGGGGAGAAGATTTAAAACTTTTATCCCCTTTTCAAGCAGATCGGTGACTTCAAAAATGGTATGAATGTTGGGAGGCGAGGCGGGAGGATCACATGAAGTCAGGAATTTGGGACCAGGCTGTCCAAGAAGGTGAAACCCTGTCTCTACCAAAAATACAAAACTTACCTGGGTGTAGTGGTGCATGCCTGTAGGCCCAGCTCCTCAGGAGGCTGAGGCAGGTGAATTGCTTGAATCTGGAAGGTGGAGATTGCAGTGAGTCGAGATCGCACCACTGCACTCCAGCCAGGGTACAAATAGCAGCTTTAGACTTGATCCTGCCAGGCATGACCACTGGGCATGTTCAGCAGTGGATCTCCCGATTCTGCCTCAGTTTCCAGTGTCTTCTCAGAGGGCTGGAGTGGAGCATCTGAAGCTGGGGCTGGATGTCTTGCTGCATAAATACCCTCTCCACTTCCACCTGTGCCGTCAGCCTGGGTGGGGAGAAGACCCATGTCAAGGGAGAGCTGTCTTCCTCCTGACGCCCCACCTGTCTAATGGCTGAGATTTCTGCCTCATTTGGAGAACTCCCAGGGGCCCTTGTGTATGTCTTGTTATTTACTAAATGTGCATACACAGATTGCTTGTACCTCCCCTCAGACCTTCCTGCTGCTCCCTGTAGAGCTGTCTGAAGCCTGGAAATGTTTATTTGCCTTTGGAGATATTCTAGTTCCATCCGCCCCAGACTCATCACAATTACAGTAACAGCTGGTGCTCTGTAACTTTCTGGAGCCTGTTCCAGCAGACAGGAGTTCCCTTCTTCAAGTCCTCTTTGTAACCCCATACAAGATGAGGAAACTGAGGCAGGTGAGCTCATGAATACAAAGTGCCAGAGCTTGGGTTCAACCTCGAATCCCTGGGCCCAGGGGTTTGAGGCTTGGGTTCAACCTTAAAGTTTGTGGGCTTTAAGGTTGGTGTGGGAAGTGTTCTGTTTGGCACCCCCTGCCCTGGTGTGTGGGTGTTGGGTCCTGGGTTGCCTGGAGAGCCCCAGTTTGCGCCTGCTGACCTGACGCATTTGTGACTAGTGTTCTCTTTAACTGCAAAATGTTGTGGTTTGGGAGAGAAATTCTGTGCTCACCTTGTTCACGTGCACCCTGAGGAAGCTCTGACACCACCGCGCAGCCTCTGATACACACTGGAGAAAGCCGGCGCTAGGATGTGCCTGTCAGCAGGAAGGGCTGCGAGTACCTACATCCAGATGTAGACATATCTGTACACATGCATTCATATACACACATCCTCACACACGTCTATAGACACACACATTCATACACATGTCTACATATAGACACATCCATGTACACATCACTATACACACACATCCATATCCACACATTCATACACACATATCTGTGTATTTCCGTATATCTGTATACATACACAACTGCACACATCCATGTATAGATACATCTGTACACAGATGCATACACATTCATACACACGCATCTGCACACATGTCGGTGGGGATCAGGGAAACACAGCATTAAGTAGTGACGGTCTGGTAATAGCGAGTATTGTTTTGATATCTTTTGGGTGAACTGACTAGCTAGTGGCTGTCAGAGGAGGATGTGGGGTGTGTCTGCAAGTTGGTGGGGCTATCAAACATGGCATTTGTAGTTGCTCATGGCTTTTCTAGAGGATCTCCTGTGTGGGGCCTTGAAGTGTAGTGAGCTGTCCCCGTGGCTCACCTGCCAGTGTCTGCACCAGTGACCAACAAAATTCTGGCTTCAAGGACCTCAAGGACTTTGGATTGTACGGTAAGAAACGCTACTGTGCCATCATTGGACGTGTCTGGTCACCACCTGGAGATCAGTTGCCAGTGGCGGGATGAGAGCCAGGAGAGCCAGGAGGATGTTGCAGTCAGACAGGCTCGATGACCAGGGCTGGAGCTGGTGTGCAGCGGAGGTGGCAAATGGGGTTGACTCTAGTCACATTTCACAGCGATGATCGACTGAGTTCCTGATGGATCCAACGAGGGGGTTGTCAAGGAGAGAAGAGAAGTCCTTTGTATTTATGTCTGAGTTTATAACACAGTTTCTAATTTTGAGAAATCCAGAGTTTAAAAAATTGGGGAAGGGCTGGGCATAGTGGTTCACACCTGTAATCCCAGCACTTTGGGAGGCCAAGGCGGGTGGATCACTTGGGCTCAGGAGTTTTAGACCAG